AAGCAATGCATAGATAGGCAACATTCACATTCATGTGCATCTGGTTTTAGGTGGATGATTCCTAATCAAGGGTTTGTGCACAGAATTCTTCATTCATGTATGCTTTAGTAGGGCATAAGGATAATCCTGAATAAGAAAATGATCTGTTATGCTATTTGCATGGTCTTAAGGTGAGTGATCAGATAACAAAACTGCAACTTCACTTGTTATACTACTTTCTATTATTATAAAAACTGTATTTACAGTTAACTGATTGTTGAGTTATTGTCTTTGTTTTAAGAAAAGCATGAGGGGTGGTTTTAACTACATATTGACATTTAATATTTGTCTTGTTTTATTAACAACTATAATACATATAGCATATTATATATATAACATGAGGACTGTACAGTACAAATGTATGTTCACAGTTTGACATGACAAAATGTCATTACTGAATTCCCCTTGGACTACCAAAAGTAGAAACAGTGAAGGTACATAAAAACATTCACATCTTTAGTGAGAAAGATTATCAAAATGTTTCAGTATCAGCAAGTGATAGGTATGCATGCTAGAAACCTTTAATTACCCAATTATTATTAGCTTATAAAATATATTACATTTTATTTTAAAAATTCTGCATAGTTTTATACAAGTAGTAAAGTAAATGTAATATCCCTGCTACATTTGCAGGTAAAAGTTTAGGACACGCTAAGCAGGAAGATTATTTTGACAGTATAATATTTAAAATACATAAATAGCCCCAAAGTGCTAATATCTGTAAAACATGATGGGAATTATTATAGCCCTTTTAAAATAATATGTAAAATATTTTTGCAACTCTGTTTAAAAGGTAAGGATTTGCATTTAGCAACAGCTTGCTAAGTGTGAAAATAAAATACAAACCAGATTCTGGCATTAGAGGGGTTCATCTTGCTGTGTATTTTAACAGAAGTATAGTGCATCATTAAACCCACCTTACAAAAATATCATTCACTTTGCACAATCCAGCTTAGAAAGGAACAATTCATTAAAAATGGTGTTTAATGGATGTTATCAATGAAGCAATAGCGTAAAAGCTGCATCTTGCAATAGTGCAGTACTAGAAGTGCACAGTTTGGCTAGAAAGGTTAGACTGCATTCGTAATCTTTGGCTGCACGCTGAGCTCCCAAAGGACACCTTCGTCACTCGCTAACTCCTTTTTGTGCACAATATAGCCTGAACTGCCCAACTTCTCATTATATCTCCGTTTCCCATAGGCAAAAGGTTCCTTCCATTTCCAACAGTAGAAGAGATTGTAGGGCTGAGTCAAAATGGAGCATTTTTAAAATGAAACATACTTGACCTGTCTCTGAATTTCACAGTACATAGTTTTTCCTGCCATCCAGATGACTTTACCCTTTATTCAGGTATGGACAGGAAGTAACTGTGCGCATGTCTAGTTTTCTAGGCCCTTTATCCACTGTCAAACCCTTAGGCGTTTTGAAACATTCCACTTCAGCACATTTCTATTTCCAGCCCCATACTCATCCGTAATTTTTTTCCTTCTAGAAACAATTATGTTTTAGAAGGGTGTGATTTTTTGTTACGGCACTCAGGTTTTTTTAAGCCTAAAGTGGGAGGTAGTGGACATAACAAGGACCAAAGGAGGGATGTCAAGAACTGGCAGCAAGGCAGGGAGTAGGAAGACAAGGATGACCCAATATGTGCACACGCAGGAGCAGAAAAAGTTACCGATACGAAAAGATGGGGGTACAAAATTTCAGCACTAACCACCCTCATCTTAGGTGTCAGAGATGATAGTGGTGACAGCAGTGTGGAGAGGAATTAAGAGGTGGCAATGGAAGAACAAGGGAACAGGGAAACCAGGTACACATCGGGATGCAAAACCTGGTAATTATCAGAACAACTGCTCCATCTAGAGGAGCCCATACTAACTGGAACTTCTATAGGACACTGGCATAGTTTATTCTGCAAGCTATTGTGAAGGTGGATGGAGACAGTGAAGCTGCACAACCAATTTGTGTGCACACACTGTAATGGAGTTGTTTCAATTGTTCTGGTATGTTTAAGATGTTCTAGAGTATGTGTTAGATTTTACAGAGTGAAAGTGGAAATAGAGCCACTTTCTGCATTAATGGAAACTGTTGCTATATACTGTGAAAAGCCATAACCATGAAAATACTGCTCTTAAAGAACCGAGTTGTAGACTTTTCCCTTGTCTCAAGGCAACATCTACCCATAGATCCCAGTATGTGGAAGCTGGGATTGCAGTTTACAGCAAAAGGTTAATGATGCATGGTGGGACCCAGATATTCCCTTCCTAACTTTGATGGGAAAGTCTTTGTAATCAGAAGAAAATATCTGGAGCCAACACTGGCTGCAGCCAAGACTCAAGTGTATTAAATAGTTCCATATGCTGAAGGTGGATTCATGCAAAAATGTATCTGAGTGGAATTACAAAATGATCATGCAAAGGAACAGTTATTGATGCAATATTGTCATAATTATTGCTACAATAGAGCAGTTTCTCCTGTTTAAAGTAATGCCAGCAAAGGGGTACAATTAAAAACCACACAAATTCTACAGCAATCATTGGTCACATTGAAGCAGCTCTTTGAATTTCAGAAGCAGCTCTTCTCCAACACACTTAGGGTGTGATCAGACATCTGTCCTGCAGTTTGGTTCACACTAGGGAATGGGCTGATTTGTTCCCTTTCCTGGCAACCACGCAATGTACATGCCACCACAAACCAGCCTTTCCTTGACTGATGCCTACTCGTACCTTTCTGGATCCCTGTCAAGGGCTACTGTTATTTTTGTTTCATTGTGCAGGTAAGATCACACTGTTTTTTGTTCAGTTCCAGTGTGCACAAGCAAATGGGAAGCTTTCCGTTTTAAAGATCATTAAGTGGCTTAAGCAAAGTATGGAGGAGGAAACAGAAAGGGATTTCTCCCCTTCCAGTTAAAGGAAAAGAAGACCAGTTTAGATTGTGTAGCCAATCCTTGCATGTGGATGCAAAGATTGTGCCCAATGACCTACCACACCTCAAAGTTACCCCTTTTTAGGGCAAGCTAGACTGATCCAGGCTAGGAAAATTGGGCCATGTAGTTGCACCTTTACTTCTGATGTTGCATCACAATTTAGAATAATGTTGCTCTAATGCATCTAATCATTTCTGTGTGGACACATGGAAATATACTGTATACTTGCAACGCTGCAATTGTATTTCCCTTAATTAGCTGGTTACACATAATATTGGTTTGATATTAACAAATACTTTTGAAGGGGCATTTCAGTGTGCATTGCCTATTTTGTATCTTTTCATTTTTATTTCATTCATTAAAAAAGAAGCTTAAATAGACCATTGATTATTATTAGTCATTTAGAATTTGGGGTATGTGTCAGGTTCTATTCTGACATTTTATGGTTTAAATGGAAACAATATTATACTGTTAAACTATTTAAACTTTGATGTACTATCAGAAAATTTATATACCCTTCAGACATTTTTTTTATGGGAAATAAACTACAGCAGCCCCTAGGGTAGCTCAAGAATTAAGTGGGGGGGACTTACCTTAGTCACAAGCCACTTAGAGTAGCATCACAAAGAAATCTATTTAATCATATTAACTGAAGGGAAAAAACTCACATTGGTTGATATCTTATTGCAAAGCTCCATGTGAGCAACCATGGTAATGTCATCAGCAATGACAAATTACCACTGATTAAAGGCTTTCCTGGGTGATTTTGAGCTGCATGACTTTGCTGAATTGTGAACAAGACATGAGCACCCCAAAATCACCTTTAATTTAATCACCTTTAATCAACAGCAATTTATTGCTGTTGATGATTATAATACTTTTGTGCACTCACAACTGCACAACAGGATTTCAGCCATAGGATGATAGCTCTCAGTGTGTGGAATTGTAATCAAAGACACCATGAACCAGGCAGAACTACACATCTGGAATATAACCGGGAAATCTATTCAGCTTATCTAAATACAGCTGGCACTAAGATTTGGTAAACTATGCTCATTGGGGCTGTCTTATCTCAATCACCTAGTATATGTTGGCATTTTATATCTCAGTCAGTATGATGTCTAAAGAACATTTCCTATTTAATACTGGAAAAATTCAAATGAGGCCAGCTATGTTTTCTCTCCATATTCCCGCCCTGACACTTAGAAAGCCCATTAAGTTTCCCCATTCAGATTTTTTCCATGTATCCAACAGAGAAATTTAAGTGTATGAACAAAACATAAAATGATGTGTTTTCCAGATTTATGTGGCAATGCTACAGAAAACAGAACAAATTTTTGCACCATTTAAATTAGTACAGAATGGTCTGTAAATGCTTCAGTACAACTGTTTCTGGTTTAAATGGGTGTGGAAAGCAAAATATGGCACACTTTTGTAGGGAATATTCTTATAGGCTCATATAAAAAAATCTAATTCTTTTGATTGTGAAACAGTTAATATACATACACAAATTATTGATCACATAGAAACAGGCAATGGTTCTATTGCTGTACCAATTTAACTCTTAAAATGAAAAGTTTATATCAAAGTAACTAAATGTCTAAATTGGTGAAGGCTGGAGGCTGAGCTTGCTTTTAAAGAGAATTGGGGGAAATATTATTTTGCTTATTCCCTCCCACAACTGCTAGGCAGAAATTCTGCCTTAATTTCTCTCTTTTTAAAAGTACCAACCAATAAAGCAATCAGCTGTATTGTGTAACTAACTACAGAATATTCTATCACCATATAGTGCTACACAATAGCACATACTGCCCCACAGTGCCTCAGATTAATCCCAATTAAATGGCAACTCTTCCATATTGACCTTTTGAAATCACCAGTGAATCGTTTCCTTTCAGGACTGCTAAAATAAGAACTTCATAGGAGAAAAGGATTTCAATCAATTCAAAACTAAGATTTAGGATTTCTTTAAAAACAAACTATCCAAATTAGTCTAGGTATGAGCAATACTTTGCATCAAAAACAAGAGGCAAGATCGAGCCAAAATTAATGAGCTCTGTTGATACACTCATTTCAGTAAGAGAGAAGTAAACAGTACCATGGGTACAAAGGGAATTTCTTAAACATATATGGACGGAAAGAGGAGACAGGACTACAAAAAGTGCTAGAAAACAATTTATGAACATGAACTGTCGACATACAACACAGTGTTTGGAAAAACGTAACAAAACACTAAGTTAACAATTAACACTAAGTTAATAAACCAAGTTACCCTGAAGGGTTTACCAAAAATGTATGTGATTATAGTAGTTGATTACATTAAAGTGTTTCCTAGCACATTCTGAGGTCCTTTCTTCTCTTGTTCACTCCTGCTATTCCTGGTGGCCTCCTTCTTTCAAACCCTTCCAAGAATATGAAAGCCTGAAGTGCCATAATTCCTCTTTTTTTTTTTTTAAGGATAAAGGGATAATGAATGGTGAACAGTTTAAGTCTTATTTCCTTAAACCCTTTCCTCTGGACATTGAGAGTATCTCAAAAGATTACAGGATAATAACAATCACAGTGCACTCTTAGTGCACTTTGAAATCACTGATACTGGAAATGCAGATACTGCATTACAAAATACTTACAAAATGTCATGAAAGTCTCCTGCTGAACTTAGTGTGTAAAACCAACAAAACCTTAATATGAAAATGAGAGAGAGAGAGAGAGAGAAGGGAGAGAAAGAACCTTTTCCACTGGTAATATTTTTTTGACAAATTTTGTACAGAAGTGCTTCAATTAAGATGTTCTCTTGAACTTATCATTATGAGTATGGTAGGATCTCTGATGGAATTTCTAACCGGGTGCTGAAATGACTGCCATTTCTAGCCCATGGCAAGCAAAGGACAGAGAGGCCTTCTAGTCTACAGGAAGTGCAGAGGAGTGATGAGAGAAGAATATACCTACCACACCTCCTCAGTGAGGTAGATTATTGCATGAATCATAAAATGACACATCACAGGAGTACCATGTGTGTTCCATTCATACAGTTGCACACAAAAGACAGATTACTATGTCATGTAAAGGTCTGCTGAATGAATCTACTGAGGCACTATATATCCAGGCAAACATAATCTAGTATTTTACACAATACCACACAAAAGAGAGGCAATGCTGGTCAAATGTACAATATTAGGTGTTGACAAAATTTCTGCTGATAACAACCACTCATCAGTCAAGATTTTTTTCATTCACTCCCACGCTGAGGATTTTTAAAAACATCCAAAAAGTGTCTTGTGGAACATGCTTCTATTACTAACCATGCTGGAAATAATCCACTTATTGCATTGATGAGCATAAAAAGGAGATGTGCATCCTTCGCAGGGTACACAAAGTCTCTGGCAAGGATTAGCAGGCTGGATTTCCAACAGTTAACTGTATGATCAATATATACTGGCTGATTAAATGGCAAAACTAACCAGTTTGATTACAAAATCCTTTAGTCTCACAGATTTTCTTTTTTTTTTAATTTGCTGGCAGGCAAGGCTTGCTTGGCATTCCCAAGGAAAAAAAGGTGTTCACATTCTTTAGGTCTGACCCGTGGCAAGGGCAAAGAAGGGTCAAGCAAACTTTTTTTTTTTTTTACTGACCATAGGGAAGGTTTCCAAGCTATAAAATTCAGAGATTCAGACCAGCTGAATCCAAATTAAAAAGCAGAGAACTGAATGAAGAAAATTTCAGACTAGCATGTGGCGTTTCCTATGAAGGGCAAGATGGTCAGATCGGGAGAAGCTGCGATCACAGTCTGGGCACTGGAAAGGTTTGACTCCAGTATGTTTCCGGAAATGCCGCGTTAGTTCATCAGATCGAGCAAATTTCCACGTGCAACCTTCCCAAGTGCATTTGTAAGGCTTTTCACCTGAAGGCAAATTTAAAAAAAGAAGAAGCAAATTTTAGAAGCCTATGCAACACTGGTTTTCATTACATATAATGAACATATAAGCAAAGCAATCATCCTTTAATAGTACTATCGAAACATCTATATCATTTTCTCCTAGCCCCCTGTCTTTAATCTTTTTTTAAATCAAGAAAATAACAGAAGCATTGAGACAAATCTTGTGGAAAGACAATGGATCTAACAAATCCAAATGAGATACTGACAGCTAGGGAGGGAAGGGAGACCCACGCCATTTCAACATGATATGGTAGGAAGTTACATAATGGTGATACGACACTCTTACTGGAGTGTGTTCAAACACATAAATTTGTAGTTGATATCAATCTAAATTAAGTCTTTACATAGCGGCGGCATTCCATTTTGTTTTTTTTTAAATGCATGTCAAATAATTCTCCCTTAAAATAGTCTCTTTCATGTCAAGCTGTGTTTTGAGAACAGCATGAGCTGAAAAAAAGATAAAGCTGAGTGAAAAAAGAAAAGGAAGAACCATCTATCCCTATTTCCCAATCTTCCATTATTACTCTATCTTCTTTAAAAACACCCACATACTGAAAATCTTTTGGCACAGTGCAGTATATGTGGGATAAATTTAGTGATGATGTAGAAGGGTGTGGTACTGCAAATTCCACTGACTCACCATTCGCAGGCAAGCAAAATCAGCCAGCCATGCTATGAGAGGCAAAAATATGTGCAGAAGAAAGTAAATAACCAAAGCTGCAGTTCTACACATCTTTACCAAGGAATAAGCATTGAGGACATCAAGACTTGCTTTGAAATTAACACACATAGTCTTTGCATTGTGAATAAACAAAAACATAGACAAGTAATGCTTATGCCTCAGCATTGCGAGCAACTGTTGGTATAGATTATTTGGCATCATTTAAGAAATAGGCTGAGCTTAATCTTACCCAAGGTTAAGAACCAGTGGTATAGATTATTTGGCATCATTTAAGAGTGAAATAGGCTGAGCTTAATCTGAGTCAAATTCACAGGCACATGAAATACAATAATGGATCACATTAGTAGCCCTCACCCACATAGTCTCCCAACCAACACTGGGATCACGGATGTAACCCAGAATATAAACTGAGACACATAATGCATCTTATCTTACAAATCAAATCAAATTTATTTGCGGGTTTGTCCCTAAACACTTCTGAAACAACAAGAGTTAGGAAAAAGAATATTTTGCACAGTTACTGCTGAGGTTTCAGCAAATGCTTCGACTGGCCATGCTGGCTGGGTAATTCTGGGACATGCAGTCCTCAGTGAGAAACATTTGTTTTCCATGGATATAACTGATTTTCCAGTTTAAATGATTACATTTTGAGTAGCCAAGATGGCTGGGGAATTCTGGTTGTTCTAACACAAAGATGTTACCTGGAAGATTCTATGAGTTATCTTCTTTCTAAAATGGCATGACTTAGAAAAGGATGTTTTGCATATACTGTAGGCTACTGGTTTTTGACCGAGAACAATTGGAAACATTATATTCTGATTAGCCAGGAGATTATGAAGACTTCATGAGGCTTGTAGGCCTTACAGCCTCTGGTATGCAGCGAGCAATATCTCTGAAGGCCAAAAGCCCATTCTCTCTTTCAAATAATGATTCTTGCCCCCGCTTCCCCTGTCTACAATAATGAAGAAGGGCAAAGGAGAAGGGTTCAGCTCTGGGGAAGGTCTCCTCATTAGTCACTGCTTCCCTGGCAGCAAGTTGGAACTTTGAGTGTAAGGTTTTGTTTACAGGGAGAAGACCTAAGAGCAAATGACCTATGCTCAAGCCAGAGGTGAGGTCTCTGGAATCAACAACATCTAAACTACTTTGACTGCTGACCCTGGAGCATGTTTTGTTTGCCTGGGCTATACTTCTTGCCCATTTCGCCTTACTATCTGTTGGTTTACTGACTTTGAACTGTTTAACCTTGGCTTAGGAAGTCCCTGCTAACCGACTTGTGGCACAGAAAAGGTTAGCTAGCTCTCACTTAGTGGTTTCTAATTACTCTGTTTCAGGCTTGCTCTTTCTGATCGGGCCTGAGCAGCCTACCCTTCAGATTACATCAGGCTTCATCTTCTATGAAGCAAGATAGGCTGCAGAGAACTCTATGCCTTTTCTGTGTGCTGAGAAAGAGAAAATGTTATGTGGGAATGGGCTGAATTGGATGACAGCAGAGAAATCATTTGGCTAAACCCCAGCGGTAATCTGACCTCTAAAACCAGTCCTCTTCCTGTCTTTTAATTTAAGACCACTGACCTGGTACAGTTGTTCTGCTGCCTAGATAACCTTTAACCCTTACAAGTGGCTAACATATATTTATCCTGACATTTTTACCTTCTTTAGCATACAATAAATGGAGCGGAGTCACTGTTTATCCTCTCTCCTCTTCTGGAACAATATACAAATTCTTGCCTGACACTGTTGTTTCATATACAGTGGTGCCTCGCTTAGCGATGTTAATCTGTGCAGCAAAAATCACCACTATGCGATTTCATCGCTAAGCGATTTTTAAAAGCCCATAGAAATGCATTAAAACGCATTTAATGCGTTCCTATGGGCTTAAAAACTCACCTTATGCGAAAATCCTCCATGGGGCAGCCATTTTCAGTGCCTCTAAAGCGAGGCAAAACAGCGGGCAGCCATTTTGGAACCGCCATTCAGCTGTGCGAAAATGGGGCCTTTGGGATGATCACGGGGGAGCGCTCCCCCATGATTATCCCAAAGGCCCCATTTTTGCACAGCTGATTGGTGGGGCCTTTGCGATGATCGCGGGGGAGCGCTCCCCCACGATCATCGCTAAGTGAATTTTCCCCATAGGGGCCATCACAAAGCGGTCACTCTTGCGATGGCAAAAAGCGATTTTGTCATAAAACGGAGCGATCGCTATGCGAGGCACCACTGTATTACTATTGTCTACAGGAGAAGTGAAACATAATAATTCTAGCACATGGACAGAAGTAAAGTTTCAGCAATATTCCACCTGCACAGCAACCCAACCAAAACTCCCTCTTGTCACAGACCAATAAAGTTTATTTTAAAAAAGAAAATCTTATCTGTATTGGTTTCATACCTGTATGTGTTCTTCTATGAGCTTTCAGATGGGAGCTTTTAGTGTAAACTTTGTTGCAGCCTTCGTAATCACATCGGTGTATTCTACGCTTCCTCTGTGTGTCTGGAGATTCCACAGGTAAAGGCCTCTTACCAGGTTGAACTATAACTGAAGGGTGATTCCTGCATGAAATTAGGTTAGAGGTAAAAAGAAAAATCAAATATTTTGAGCTAAAACTTCCTTCATAGTATACTACAGAGCTTCTTTATTCATCAGCCCTCCGTCTTTTGGCAGCATGAACAACATTACATGCATGTGGAAAAATTCAAGCAAGCTTAGCAAATTTCATGGACTTTAGTGGTAATATTTTGGCTCACTTCCCTGCTGGGGTTTTTATTCATTTTGTGGAATGAACAAAACCAAATACATAAATAAATCTTCGCAGCATGTTACAACATTTCATTTGTTTTAAAGATCAGGCTCTGGTTTCCCAGACAAGCATGCTTAGATTTTCCAGATACTTGGTGCTTCCAGTGAACTTTTTGTACTGCTATTTTACACCTTTTAATTCTGATTAAAATACATTTTAAAAATGTATGGTCTGACAGCATTTTAACATTATTAACTCCATCATTTCTTTTGCTTTGCAAGCCAAACTCAAGTGGCTTTATTGTTCATCCACTCTTTTAAAGGCCAATTGAGAATTTCCTGTTTGAAGCTGGCAAAGGGATGCAGCCTCCCTTAACCAATGACATCAGTTCCTAAATGGAGAGTTCAGTCTGTATGTACATGTGTCACACCCACAGGATGTGTAAAATTGTCTCTTTTGCTTCATATAAAGTTTTCGTGCTTGCATCTTGAAAAGTGCAATGTAGTTGAGATACTCCATTTACTAAGCATATAAATCACATATAGGCCAAAACACAAAATTTTAGTTGAATTCTTTCATTAAAAAGGATGGGAATAAATGGAAATCAGCTTTCAAATACCAAAGGTGGAACATAAAGCAGGATACAAAACACTAGACCATTCCCATGCCTTGAGTATTGCCAACCGACCAGATAGGCGGGGTATAAATTAAATAAATAAATAAAATAAACATAATTCATATTGTCAGACTTTTTGTGGGGGTTATACTGTACATGGGCTATAGACCAATGTATAAATTCTCAGATATTACTGAGGATTTTCAAAAGATATGGCATGTAGAACTTTAATTCTGGATTACTCAGAAGCAGTTTTGAACACTGGCTTTCACAAGTGCTTAGAAAGGAAAGTTGTCAACCAATCTGGAGCCTCTTAATTTCCTGGAAAATGCTAGAAGCCAGCTATAAATGAAAATTGGCATACGGATTCCCAAAAAGTCATCTTTGAAATCTGCACTTCTCAGTTAAAAAACCCCCAAAATGAATATCAACAGTTGTCAATACCCCACATACCACTTGTTTTTTGGTTATAGTTCCCAACAAATACTTTGTATCAATCCAAACTCTTAAAAATAGTGCATCTATAATCATTGCCACATTCTTCAGAATCCAATGCATTCCATGGACGTTTTGCTTGCCTTACATGGTTATTTATAAACAAGTATTCTTTTAACTCATGTACATCCTTCTGAAACAGGTAAAATTATCTTCCCTAAGATCATTTTGTTGTGGTTTGTGTAACCACTCTTATGCTCCCACACTCAACATTTATGCTATGATGTCAGTTTTTGCTAAACAGTGTTTCCTGTAGAACAAGAACAAAGGATTTCAATCTGTAGCACATGTTTTGGGTTTCACTAGCTCATTCATTTTTGCTTAGAATGTTTTATAGGCCAGCTTGGAATCAAATCCAAGAACTTATCAAAGCACATTTTGAAATGCTTTCATTCTTGGGACATATCTCCTATACCAGCATTAACAACAGAGTAGCTCTATCTGTAACAATTCAGATACTTAAGCTGAATGCCTGTCAACCTAGCAAACAATGGTGGATGGCAGAAGTAGGTTCATGACATCTAGAAAGTTGAAGCTTCTCCATCCCAGATTCAGCACAAAAGCAGATAGTCATCTCCTCACTGCTTCTAACTGGTCAGTCTCTGTTTGTTGCATCTAGAATATCTATCCTTTTAAAAAGCACAAGAAAAGCCAAGAACAGAAGAAATTTCTGCTAAGCGCAACTTGATCAAATGAGCAAAAATTTGAAAGCCAAAGCAGTCTGTATGATTCTTAGCACTGCCATGGGAAAGAATTCTGCAAATGAACCATCCACCTATCAGACTTCCCACTAGTGACAGTTATGGCAAGGTGTTAAATGAAATGTGGTCTTGGTCATTAGTAATACTGCAAATGGAACATGAGAATTGGGCCAGACATAAGGAAGTAAGACTTAAGGAAGTAGCCACTCATCAAAGGAAACAGCTTTGAATCCAGAAGATTCACATAGAGAAAGCCAAGTCACAACAGAGGAAGAATTTCTAGGCTCCCCAGCCAATTTAATGCAACAACAACAACAACAATAAAACTCTTGACCTTGACTATAACAGTCAGTCATGAACAACACAATAAAAGAGATAAAAATGAAACAAAATTCCTGAATCTATCTTCACATTCACACTCCCTAGGGTTTGCAGCCTCTGCATCATAATGTTTTCTGGGTATTTTGTTGCAGTAGTGCAACACCATAGTTATCTTCCACCTGATCTTGTTTGAAGCCTTCCCCTGCTTCTTATTAATGAAAGGGAGGTGGGAGGTCTGAGGGAAGGGCAGGAAATTTCCCTGGGTTCAGGAAAAGTGTGTGTTCTCCACATCAATAACACATGTAGTCTTTTGTCAGGGTCCTGGTAATATCTAAAGACATCTGAAGGTATTCCTAGGGGAACATTTTTTTTGTCCGCTTTGATTACAGGTCTGGACTATAAAAGCATTTCCAGATTAGGCTTTGCTTGTGCAACTATCTTGCCTCACTCACATAATTTTACATTGTGCCCAGAAGTTTCTGATTTTCATTTGTTGCCCTCATTTTCCCCCCCTTTTCTCTTGTGTGGGAAAAATGAAATACCTGCACAGTGGCCACTGACCATAGTATCATGCTTCTGTCAGAAAGGACACCAACATTTTAGGAACTCAGTGAAATAGTACCACTCAGAACATTTTGCATTTAGTTGGCAACAGGTCCTGCATTCAAATGGATTATTTCAGAACCACAGATAGCTACTTACTCTTGAAGCATAGCTTGAGGCGGTGACAATGAGGTCATCAGTGGAGGGGACATTTGTTCAGGATAGTAGTCACTCCTGGGCGATTCCATTCCTGGTTCTACCTTAATAGATTTATTTTGTGCTGTCTTTCTAGGAGTGTCAATTACTGATACTGCAAGAAAGAGAAAACAGAGAAAAGTATATATAAATAGTAAATGAAGAGAAAAATACCCAGCTTGAAACACATCCCCTTTCCTTAAAGAAGCTTCGGGCAGCATACATGGGCTTGATCACAACGAGGCAAATGTTCCCCACTTCTATACTTTCCATACCTCTGTTGTACTGAATTGTGGTCACATGATATATACACCATGTTCCAATGTCTTTTAGTGTTACCAATTCATTTTCTCCTATTTGAATCATTATGGCTGGCTACACTGTGGTACCAATTTATTTTCTTATCTTCTGAGGCACTGCAGCCCCTTACATAATTTTTTTAAAAAAATTGTTTTACCCATACGTCAACGTGTCAGGTAGGGGTTCTTGTTCAGTAAAATTCCCTCTCTTGCGGCAGTACCTCTGGAAGAAATGCATTGCACTCAGTGGAACCAGCACCCCCATCCAGGGCTGTGTTAGTTGCCAGACAGCAGAAGGTGTGATCCAACACTTACCAATACCCTGACATACCTGGCTGTTGACATACGTTTATCTATGTATTGACATACAGGCAGCAAATTAAAAAAAAATCAAAGCAGGGTAGCTGCATGGCAGTAATGGCAGCCACCTTCCTTGGTGACTTGGCTTCGGAAAAGAATTGATATAGCAGTGTGACATGTGCAAACATGTCATACCGCTAAGGAATATATTAATATGGCATTGGAACAAAATAATAGAAGCTTCCTGGCAAGTGAGAAATAAACTGCAGTTACACCGCCGGCTGGGTAAATGATTTGATAATGGCCATGTATCATGTGACCAGAAATTTCTACAATGATCTAACAGGGATATATCTAGAGAACATTTGCCTCATATGATCACGCCCTACGCTGCTTCTTTCTCCCTTTGTAACAGAATCTGAGGTAGGTTAGGCAGAAGATAGTGATTTGCTGGAAATCCTCGAGTCACCATCCTTCTGCTTTGCCAGTATAGAATACTATTTACCACACACTCCTGTGAGAAGATCTCAACAAACTACTAAGTGTTTTTGTCACTAAAAGTCAGTTAGCCTAATTTTAAGTGAAAAGGCAATACATTCCAGTTTATCTTACTTAATTCTTATGAAGTGAGGTGGGAGATAGGCAAACAAGTTTTACCTGGCACACTACTTGGATTTTCCAACTCTTCTGAAAGAACTGTGGACACCATTATAGGCTGCTGAAGATGAGGGGCATACATAAAGGGGACAGGCTGTACGACCACAGGCTGTATAACTGGAAGTATCCCAGGGCTTCGAAGTCCCTGGCGCGAGAGAGCTGCCATTACAGGAGGAATAGATAATGGCATAGTGAAAGGCTGCATTCCTGGTGGAGACAATTTCTTCATCGGAGGGCTCGGTGAGGGCAGATTTAATCCAGGTGACCCTCTTCTAGGTATAGTCTGGAATTTCAGAGGTGAAGGAGAACTTCCAGCGGAAGACGGTGAGCTTCGTTTGTTCACTGTGAGATCAACAGGCTCAACCTGAACTCCATTACACAATCCTTCCGGAGTCTGGTAGAATTTATTGGGCATCATATTTGGTGTTGAATAGATTACACTGTATTTGTTGGACTTCATGTGATCCATGTAACTAGAAGTGAATGACTATATGAAAAAGGAAACGGGAGAGTGATGAAATGGAAAACAGCAACACAGAGCAAGCAAAAAATACATGTGCTCTCAGAAAATATGGATTACTTATGGGTGATCTATAATTTGATTTCTTCTGGATATGAATACTGAATATATATACCGTATTTTTCTGTTTATAAGATGCACCTCCCCCTTTCTAACTCCCAAATTAAGAAATCTTAACTTAGCTTCGAGTATTCAGCTTCTGGGCTCAGAATGCTCTGACATGTTGCATCTGAGTCTACAGGCTCCACCTCCAATGAGATGTGTTCCAATTGGTTTGTTTGGCATCAGCTGACATCAGTTCCATAAGGCTCATGATTGCAAAAAGCTAAGTCCCCTGACTGCAGGAAGCTAAGCCTCGTGATTGAAGGAAGCCTGTTTACAGAGGCAAGGTATTGTTCTCTCCGTGTTCTCAGCTTTCTTCTGTGTATAAGCCACACCCCAATTTGGAATGATTTTAGGAAAAGGTAGCGTCTTATACACAGAAAAATGCGCTAGATGATCTTTGAAATAAGAAGCATACTTGGATACACAAATAATTCTGTTAAATGTTATCCTTCAGAAGATGGTCTACAGGTTTCTCTTATATAGTCAGCTTGCTCCATCATGGTGATTGTCTGTGCTACAAGTCAGAGAGGATTTTTCTTATAAACCTGAATCTTCTCATACAGTATGAACACAGAGATGACCGGAATAATCTAGTGCTTTCTAGTGACTATTGAAAACTAGTCCTGACTGCAATGGATTGGACTAAACAGCTCCCAGTTCCTAGTTTAATGTGAAGCAGTGCAATATTCAACTGTTACATTCAGTTTCAAAAATGTTTACCACCTAGAATATTTGATACAACATACAAGTCATTGCAGAGCACCAATGAAAAATATTTGGAGAAAAGCCGACTGGGTATGCCTGCAGCAATTAAAAATTATATCACCAACATTGGTGATGCCAAAAAAAAAAAAAAAAGACATTTGTCATTTTCTATTATTTAGGCTTTACTAAACATAAATATTAAATTAACCCACATCTCTATGGAAGTAGTTTTTAACTGATCTTAAAAATAGTAGATTTAAATGCCCTTTGACATCTACAGTGAAAATATATATAAAAGCGTATGGAAACAGTAAAAACTGATAATTTGTTTACTATGTCTTTAGGATACAGTACAACACTTCAGCACTTCTGCCTCTTTTAACACAGAGCATACATAGTCTTGGATTTGTCACAGTCTGAATACTCATGAAGCAAGAAATCACAATCAAGGCCACCAATGTTGTTATACTCTTATGTGCTATCAAGAGAATTCCAATTCATGGCAATTCTAATAGGATTTTTACAGGTATGTAGGATATTCAAGGAATGGTTTATCACTGCCAAATCCTAGTGGGATTCCGTGGCCAAATGTAGATTTGAACCCAGGTATTCTGAGACTTAATTCAACACTCTCCACTACACTGACTCCACATTGCCTCTCTGAATATATAGTGTGGCTCTCTGATTATGCAAACATTGGTAATTGACAGCACTAAGCATCTGCCAGCTCCAGGGCTGGTCCAAATTCTGCAAGAGGCAGCACAATCCAACAGATGTACCACAGTGTTCTCTGCAACACTGCCAGTGATCCTGGACCGCCTCTTAAATTGCACACAATTTGCTGCCCCAAGCACCAGCATGGATTGCTTGTGTAGTCAAGCTATGTAAGATAATTAAAATATGGCTACATGTATCAACCAATTGCTGCAGTAGATTATACTGTATATTTATAGCACACAGAGCAAGATCTATGGGGCTTCACAATGCTGGAGGTATTAGGTGTTCATAATTAGGTACAGTGGGGTCTCTACTTAAGAACTTAATCCGTATTGGAAGGTGGTTCTCAAGTGGAAAAGTTCTTATGTAGAATCTGCATTTCCCATAGGAATGCATTGAAAACCATTTAATCCGTACCTGCTCTTTTCTGTCCATAGAAACTAATGGGAAGCTGCTATTCCGCCTTCTGCCAGTAGAGGGGGATATGTTTTCTTTTTTTCTTAGGTCAGGGAACAGTGTTAAAAGCACTTCTGACGAAGCTAATTTTGAAGCAATGGACTGAAAACCAATTAATCCGTTCTGGCTGATTTTTTTGTTATGTAGAGGTGCTTCGTACATTGAAGCATTAGTTCCAATAGGAACTAATGCAAAGCTGGTTAATACGTACTCTACCACTAGGGGGAGAATTTTTTTTAACCTAAGATGACCTAAGGTTAAAACAAGAGCAGGAAAGGTTTTTTTTCCTGTTCTTATCTAGGATTTCTGTTCTCAAGTAGAAGCAAAATTTAGCAAACGGAGCTGTTCTTAAGTAGAATTGTTCTTAAGTAGGGACGTTCTTAAGTAGAGACCCCACTGTATATGCATTGTGATACATCTGATCACGCTATCACTTCAAGCAAGTGCATCCATCACTATTTATAGAATCAAAGGTCTAATGGTTTTTATACTATAAGCTACTGAAAAGGCAGGCAACTATTTAAGGTGATGCAAAAGCATAACAAGGTAATCCAGGATGTCCTACTAACACAGCAAAATCAAATGTTAACCTAACAGTGACATAGTATACCCATAAATTGCTATATACAGTAGCTCAGAACGTAACAGAGATGGAGTGTGATAATCATGGGAGGAAGAAAGATAAACACTACATATTTCAAACACCCCTGTAGGTCAGCTATGTCAGCCTAGCCCTACATGTCTAACACTATCTGTGATTTCTCTGCTGTTTCTTTTTGTTGTTTCTATAATGAGAGCAGCACTTAATAAGTAAAACAGCAAGGAGAACCCTCTCTAATAATCATATGCAGACTTCAGCTTTATTATTTCAGTGCAAGCTATCCAATGGCCTGTTGCGTGGATCTTTGGTGATAGAATGGAATATCAGATAATCATTTCAAATCTGATTACAAGGATATGTTGTACTGCACATGCACAGCAGTATTAAAATAATAAGGTGGAACGCAATGCTATTGGTATATTCATAGAAGAAAATTTGCATTCACAGAAGGCATGCAGCTTTCCTTCATTAAACAGACAGTGTTGACTGTCATCCATCATAACCTGTTTCATTCATTCTGAAACTTAAAATCACACTGTAAAACTGAGGAATTACTTTAAAAAATGTAACAGACTTCTAAACAAGCAGAAAAACTACTGCAATTAAAATATCTCATATAAAGTGAGGTTATTTTCTCCACTTTGAGGATGAAATTGCAAGCCTATTTCCTTGATATAAGTGGAAATTACTTCCAGTTAAATATTGTTGTGACCCAATTTAAACTGCATGGCTTTATAAAAGCCCTAGTGATTTCAGTAAAATCTACAGTGTAGCCAAGGGTATTCTAGAATTTATATGTACAAAACAATCTATAGGAGTACAGCCAAAAAGATTTCTGAGTTCTATCAAAACACACTATAATATTTGTTTAAATGACAGAGGTCAACTTAAATCTGCATTCTAAAGAAAAATCTGTACTTCAGGTACTAATGCACCATGGAATATGAACTCCAGTACTTTTTTTGGGGACGACGACCTAATATTGTATTCAAAAGAAAAAAGTGTACTGAATTATTAAACATGCCATTCAAGTTCCTTAGTTTTTCAAAACGTCTGAAAAAAATGATTTTCACTGGGTGTAGCAATGTTGGCACAGAAGTGGACTAAGTCAGCATTTTTTTTCTGCAAATCTGAAGAGGCTGCTTTCTTTTGACAAGACTTCATTTCTTTATTTCTACTGAATTACACATTTTCAGCAGAAACCCATGAAAAATATAACAAGAAAGTAGAGAGGGAAAGGATGAATGTCATAGACTGAAAAATTTAAAATGAAGTTGAAAATCTTTTACATTTAGCTAATTAAACACCATATTTTAAAAAACTTATTAAATTCATGTCATCCAAACAGTCACAGCAGCTTTTTAGTGCTGCAAAGTCTGGTTTGGTTTGGTTTAACTGATTAATTTCCACATACCCCCAATCATTTAAATAACAGTAAGAATTTCAAAACAAGGAAGAAACCCACATAATCACCACCTTCTGTAAGTAAGAATATATGTATGTCTTTTGGTACTTTAATTTGTATTTATTGCAGTGTATTATTTTAAAGGAAAAAGCCAATTTTTAAAAAGTTTCTAGGAAGTGTGCATTTCCACAGCTATTCACACTGTAAATATGTCCCTATTCTCCTTTGTACACATGTGAGACCTGTACAGAAATTTCAGACTCATATTACTTCCTTTCATTACCTATGGGCCTCATTATTTACATGTTTATTTTATTGGTAACTATCTCGCTCTTAGATTTAACAAATCCACTGAGGTCCATAAATGAGGAGGAATTTCATGCAGTTCAGTAAGCAGGCTGGTGGCATGGAGGTGAGTCACTCTTCTGCCAGCTTGCTTGATGGAAGATAATTTTTTTATTAGCCTGCTAGATGTTAGTGGCCTGCATTCTTTCCTCCTAGCCAGCACGAAAACTCATGGAACTACAGTGGTGCCTCGCTTAACGAGCGCCTCGGTTAACGATGAATCCGCATAGCAATGTGTTTTAAGCAATCGCAAAAGCGATCGCATTGCGATGTTTCTAATGGCAAAAAATCGCTTTGCGATGATCGGTAAGTGTTTTGCTTATCGATTTTCGCATAGCGATTTTTAAACAGCTGATTGGCGGTTCCAAAATGGCCACCAGGTAAAGGAAATGGCCGCCCGCTGTGTTTTCGCGCCCTGTTCCTCACTTATCGGGCAGCGAAAATGGCGGCCACAAGGAGGATCTTCGCATTAAGGTGAGTTTTTTGCCCATAGGAATGCATTAAACGTGTTTTAATGCATTCCTATGGGCTTTTTTGCCCTGCATAGCGACAAATCCACATAGCGACGATTTTTTCGGAACGGATTATCGTCGCTATGTGGGGCACCACTGTACTCTCTTTAAGGGTTGGTAT